ATTATATCAGAATAGGAGTATTATATAAATAAAATATTCCTGATTGAAGGTGAAATATTATGTACCTTAGTCAATGAACTTACTTGTTATTGTTTATTTTAGGGGTTATATTTTTTGACATGATATTTATTTCAAATATCAATTTTAGTGGGCATATTGGCTTATCAGTTCAACTGTCAGTGCATGATGGATGAAACAAGTTATTCATATTTGGAATGTTTGAAACATTCTTGATTTTGCTGATTCAATTATTTCACACATCCTACAAGTGTCTTGTCTTTGTTAAGATACCTTCAATTGGCTAATATCCTGAGAGTTTTATTTGTGTTAAATTACTTTCAGTTGGCTTCAATCGTTAAAGGGACTTGCAAAATATATAGGGTCTTGTCTTGACTTGCAAAATATATAGGGTCTTGTCTTTTTTTATAAACTTTCAGTTGGCCGACATCCCGAGAGGGTCCTGTCTTTGTAAAATTACTTCCTATTGGCTGATATCCTTAAAAGTCCCCTGTCTTTGTAAAATTACTTTCAATTGGCTGTCATTCTTAAAGTATACTAGAAAACAAACGATGGGAGTTCATTGTTCATGTTATAACTTAGATGTGCTCAGTCTCTAAGTCCAACATATACCAAAATGAAAAATCTGAACAACTTACACCATTCGTATATACTTTGATGCAGACCTTTCTGCTCATGAGGTATTAGAATTAAGTAATGAAATCACCATTTGAAATAAATTATGAAAGGTGCATGCACCTCAGTGAGCAATTTTTTTCAAGCTCTAGTATGTTTCTATCAAAGTCTATTGATGGTGGAAATTGTAGGCTAGTCGTGACCAGTAAAGCCAAATGTATTAAGGGGCACTGGGGCAGGTACAACATCGCTATGCAAGGATTTCACCCATTTTTGGGCAAGATGAGACATTAAGATCCCCTTAGTCTATATTCATTCCATCAACTTTTAAAACAGAATTATCTGTCATACTTTTTTGAAGAAAACTGTAGTTCATGCTTGTTTCATCCATGGTGTTCAAAAAATATTTATCTATTTATTCTTATGTAAAATGCAAGATCTGTTTACATGTATGTACAACATTATATTGCATTTCCTGCCATGCCACTGAACCTGATGATTGCTCACACTGTACAAGAGCTGGAGAATTTAATCTTCTGTCGATTGCACCAAAATAGATATCTTGAGTAACGCTTTCTTAGAAAAGCTCATTTGAATGTTGATGTCATTTATGTGTGATCTTTGCATCTAGTTAGAGATGAGGGCACATTTATTTTTGCCTCCGAGTGACATGTTTACACAGTCAATGTTGACGCTAAATGAGATTGTTTGAAGTTCCGCTGGATTACTCAGTCACCCTTGGGTAATGTCACGCCCCTGTAGTACTACAAAAAGTTTATTTTTTGAGATGATGAAGTTACGGAAACCTCTGGAATTTGGATATAATGAGATTTGTGCTGAATTACATTTATTTCTTGAATAAAAGAGTAATTCAAGGACATCTGTGTATCTAAATTTTTGCATTTTTTGTTTGATCGTCATAAGACCTTGTGACTTTTCAATAAGATTTGCTTCGAAATTACAATTTTTGATTGTTGTTTTGTTCAAAAATTCTTTTAACATCACCCAAGATTAGAATGAATAATAGTGAAAACCCATTTCATTTTATCATCAAACCAATTTTTCCATAATTTTGCCTGGGTTGTTTGAAAGGCATCAAGCTAACAATGATTATATGCCAATTTGAATAACTTTTTTCCTTAATTGAATATTGAAACCCCTATAAAGCCTATGAACTTTATATTTACTTTGATTGACAATATTCATATGATTGAACCTAATTAAGACCACCAAGATATAAAAATATACTTAATATAAAATATTTGGAAATGAAAAAGTAAAAAAGCCCACCAATACAGAAGATTCACTTTGATGAAAAGAACTTGTAAAGAACTTACATTTCCTTTGGTTAACTAGTATCTGAAGTCAATTAAATGATCTTGTAATATAAATTTCTCAATTCCATAATACCATTAACCATCAATCTCTTTCTGGCACTAAAATTCACTTTACTCCCGAACAGTTGTAAAAAACAAAATTGATAAATGTAAAAAATATTTCTTCTCTCAAGTCAATTGCCTTAATCAATGAAAATGCCTAATAGAGTTTATACGACAAATATTCAAGTGCATGACCCCAACTGATGTACGAGAATCAGTAAATGAACGTGACTATAAATTCCGCCATTTTGACAGGCCCCAAGTGGGTTACATAATGAAGTGAATGGGTCCACTCAATCGGCAGAAACTCATTTCTTGAACGGGAGACCTTACAAATGAATTATGCTATTGTGTATATGTTACGATAACTCATGTGGAATCCCAGATGTTCAGATTTCCTTACATTTCATAATAAGATATCACAAGAACATGTTTGGTTCTCACTTTACTAAAATATTTTTGCAGAAGTTATTTTGACCCATCCCATTGTTCTATTTTTCTCCAGGGGGGTTGGAGCAAATCTAACAAGCATCCCTACGCTGATTACGTTTGAATCAAGGATGGTGTAATTATTGATAAAAACTTCAAATCTACTAGAAAATATTAGCAAAGGATCACAAGTCAGGGGAAATGCTCTGGGCCTGATTATAATCAAAAAGCGCCAATTTTACTACGACTTTCTCCGTATTACTACATGGGCCATTTTGGCCGTTAATCATTCTGCTGCCGCAATTACGGTTATCTCCATACAACAATGACTTCAGCATGCTCTAACTTCTTTCAAAACAACCACTTTTCTCGTTAGATTTTTTCTGCTCATCTGTTTCAACATATCAGATAATGCACAGCTTTCATCCTAGTAAAGATCACAATTAAACCAACGATTAGTTCAAAAAAAGTAATTTAGTTCGTGACAAAGAACCGATGCATGTAAAGATAAAGATGCCTGTTTTCTTAATAAGCAATTCTTACATCTTAATACATCATGCCAAAGTAAAAAATATTGTATTTTAGAATTGTTCTGCTTTTTTTCTTTTTAATTTCTTGGTGAAATTTGAATTGAATAGGGAGCTTTTTGCATTTTAATATAATTTAGTGTTTTAACTTCATAATCTTTGCCTTTATTCTCTGATTATTTCACTCTATTTTGAAAATTTAATATTGAAAACAGGACCGTCTCACGAAATCGCCATGTTAATCTTTACATTCTTGGAAGTAATAATGAAATGCACACAAAGCAACATTTTCTGAAAAGACGACAATTTATGGGCTTAGAGTTAAAAGACCAGCTTGAATTTGAATTTTTTTATTGTTTTTTATGACTCTGTTGTTACAGTATGTGTGCATATCAGCTGTTTAATAGGACCCATCAACATATGGCATATTAAAAAATAATCAATCGCGTTAACGGTCCAAAATATTTTTGCGAAACAATCCAGAAATTTACAAGAAAAACACTTTCTACACTTTTTTGAAAATACATTGTCTGATGACATAATTAAAAAATAGATTGGTAGTTGATAAATTCTTGGTGTCGACTTCAGAGATTTTCTGTCATTAGCATCACAACATTTTGTGGTTTTGATAAAAACAGAGCGCCTTATTAATGTACATTAAAATAGTTTGATTTCACTCTGTGGGATAGAAAACCACATTAGGGTAATTAAAAAATACAATTTGTGGTGCAGCGACAATTCAGAAATTCTCCGGAATTATTCAACATGTTGGTAATTCCAAAAGATTAAATTATTTCATCGAAGTTGTGAGCCATCTTGTTCGATACAATAAGTTCTATGACGGATCATGATAGAGTCAATCATGTAATAAAATCCTATTTTCTTCATCCCCTAAAGATTATGTTTCTTGTGACACGTTAAGAGTTTAGCCGGCTTTGCACCATGAAAAACTCAAAGTTGATGTCTTTTAACGATGATTGATGTTCCATGTGCGGCTATAAATCAAGTAGGTATGTCGCTGTTATCATATTGTTTCAAAAGAACCCCTTCTAAACCTATTACGTTTTCATCATTTTATTCATGTACAAAATCAAAAATATTTTTCCAAAATTTATTTTCAACGATACAAAATATCCTATTTCATATTTGTTCTCTTTTACTTTAAAAAACATATGCAATGCCAACATTTTGAGATATTTTTTTAAAGGGGTAGTAAGGTGTGCATCGTTTGATACCAAAGATATGCTTGATATAAGGAAGACCCTTATTAATTCCATAATTAACACTGCGGAGAGATGATTGATCTTCCTGTAATCCTTCTAATATCCAAGTCCTACAAGATGGAAATGATCACTAAAGTTGATATAAAAATCTAAATTAGACAGTACATTATTTGAAGAGTGAAATTGAATCTGTCAGATTCTCAAAATCAGTATCATTCGGATGTCAACACGTTAGGTAAATGGTCAGCATTTTTGATGAATTGGTTCCAGTTCTTATTTAAAGATGGCAGTTCAGGTCATGATTTCTTGTTACCAAAAGAGGCTGTGGGATATCTCATTTATGTTCAAAGTTACATTTACATTACATTACAGTTAGGTAGTCTGAGAATCTAGACTAAGAAGGGAACTGGGTTCTTTGGCTATGTTATGCCTATGTTCCTTAGATTTTGACTTCATATTGGACCTAGTAGGGCTTTGTTGATGTGAATTATAAAGGGTTTTGTAAGTCTGTAATACTTTTGTTTAGAAATGGAGCGAGCTACCTTAGGGAGACAGTGATCTGCTCCTGTGGTTGGTTTTTGATGTATTATACAAAACTCCACAATTCCAAGAATGTAGCACCAGTAGCATTGATCTAATAAATATATTATTAAAAATCAGTTAGAATAATTGTATAGGTACATGTAATATGCGTATACTGCCTATAACAGAAAATTGGAAGAGGTGAGATATTTTTTCTTGATAAGATTGCCACATTAGATTTTAAAATATCTGTATCATAATCATCCATAATTTTGTGTTTGTTTCAGATGGTGGAGACATCTATGTTTGGGGCAATGGGAACAGTGGACAGTAAGTAACTACTCTTCACAAGACCTTAACTATGTTTGCACTCTCAAGATCAGAGCGAGTCCTTTTTATGTCACCTCCAGAAGTGATGACATATTGTTATGGTCCGAAACTTTTTTGTGGACAGTGGACTGTCCAATTTTATCTCATTCTGGCCCATTATGGTGTACTGTTTGCTGGTTGGTGTTCAGTATTCGGTGTCTGTAACAAATGGCAGGTGATGACATTTTGCATGTTAATGCTGTGTATATGTAAGACCACTAATATTTAGTCCTACTAAAGCCGCTGTATTCCCTACCATGTTCTGTCTGTAACACAAACATGGGAGAGGGGTGACAGAGGCTTGGTTCTTGACTAAAACATTAAACAACATCTTTCAAGAGTTCCTCTAATTCTGGTAATTTTATTTAATTATTCCCCCCTGGTTTGCAAAACACACAATGGCCCATTGCATTTTCCTAAACTCTATATTTAGAGGAGAAGAAACTAATCATCCCAGTCAGCCTGTCTCACTGTGTACGATATAATTCACTTAAAAGAGTATGGCTGTATAAATGCAAATGTTCCAAAGATCTGTAATGCATTTATGCAAAAAAGTCAGTAAAAAGTTGGAATATTTCTGCTATGTTGAACAATTATAGATAAAAAGCTCTTAGATTCGTGTCCCTTAAGTCATCCCCTGGTGTTATTTATCCAAGGGTAAACGCCACATGATCCCAGAAAAACTTCTTATAGGAAACCATATTACCGTGATTGGAGATAGTGCTTTTATTGCAAGTTGGTCATTGTTTTTCCATCAACTCCTGGACTAGGGTTAAACTTAATTATCTTTATGGTAAAAAGTTCAGTTTTAATGGAGTAGAGCTGATTAACAGCTTAAAAGGTTGTGTCCATAGGCCAGAGTTTGAGTGATTGTCAATGTATATGGTCAATTCGGATCAAACCCTCATAAAACAACTCTTTCACTCGGAAAACACATGTTTTGGTTATTTTCAAATTAAAAAATATCTTCCAATTATGTTGTTAGCACATTTTCGATGAGTAAATTGCAAAGATGTTAATTTGAAGACATTTCAAAGATTGAACCAAATCTGCTGAAAACCTAAAATCATATTTGGTTTGTGAAATGGCAAGGTGAAATGTCCATTAGAGAAGATGATAGGTGAATAATTGATCTAAAGGGATCAAAGATCAAAGATGATCTCACCTTCAATCAATACAGATCAGACAATAGTGTCTCACCTAAAAAGCATATTTTAATCATTAGTTTATAGACTTGCTTTGTGACCCCTCCACTCCACACTTCCTGTGATAGTGAGAGGGGGTGGGGGTGGGGGTGGGGGGAATACAAAGACTTGATCAAGAATATTAGACTATTATATTAGATTATTATTACGCACTGGGAGATTTTGGATAGAGTGTTTATCTCAAATATGAAATATAAATAACAGTGACTGCAGATAAATATACTTGTTTTTCATGTATTGAAGTAGGTCACCTCTATCAGTGAAACACCTCCATAAGTAGAAAACTTTTCAACCTTCTGTTACTTGTACTGTAAATGGAAGATATTCCAAGTAGAATACTTCTCTGAGGTACCAAAGAGATTCTACTTCTACGTGTTTGACTGTATATTGAATCTGTGTCTTATTCACTTTGATGAAATTTATTTGATAAAGAAATATTTATGTTTTATACCAAATTAGATAAAGGTTTAGAATGCTTATAAACCATTTCAGTTTTTTTCCCTTTTACAAATGTGTATATAATTTCAATGTTATTTTACTATCACATGTAATTTTTTTTGCTTTTGAGAGAATTTATTTGCAAGGCTCACTTAAAATTGATTAGAAATCCTTATATTTGAACATTTATAATCTCATTTAGGAATATGGTATCCCCGCGTGATTTGATCTGCTTTTCTTTGTTAGGGTCCTGAAATACTTTGAAAAATAACCTTTCGGATCCTGGGAAAAGAAAGAAATCAAATCTGCAACTTAACCATGTTATTTGACTCAACTTAGACTTTGATATGACATCCTAATCCCATGGCAACAAGCTTGCTATTGGAAATGTCGACTATATGACATCCTCGCGACATCAGGTGACATACTGATGACATAAACTCAATTTTTATGAAGGGTTATTTCATTGTAACACAATACATTGACATTTCATTTATTCAGATTCTATTTCTATCCTTCAGGCTAAAGATCAAGATAGTTTTGAAAGTCTATTATTCTATGCTTCAAACATGCGATAAAGAGCTCACAATTTTTTATGTTTGTGAGATTTTTATATAGCGCCCGTGTCATTCTTCAATAATTTTTGCCCTAATTCCTGTATGAATTATATTGATATTTTATTTAGAGGGATAATTTTTAGATCAAGTTTTTTTGCCATATGGGGCACATTATACTGTGGTAGCTTTACGCTAACCTTCCATAGAAATTAATATTTCATTATAACTGGATCAGCTTACAAAATATATGTATTGCGGCTTTAATTAAAGATTCAGCCAATATACATCTCTGAGGTTAACAACAAAACAGCATGCTGGTTTTTGCTTAAATTTCACATATTTCAAAGATGGGAGCACATTAATTTCCTGTTCTGCCATGTTTAAATGCTATATGTTGCATTTTAAGGAATGATAAAATGTTTTGTGTTTTCTAAACTCTCACTCGTTTGTATAGCCATAATGTTTTTTTTTATAAAAGCTACGCGTACTGCTCATTAATGATAAACGTCATTTTTTCAGAAATATTGTGTTTATACATATTGTTTCATCTTGTGAGAAAAACAAGACCATTTTGCATGTTAATGAAATAACAGTTTAATAGGCCTTTTTAATTAGAGTTCACCGTGTTTTTATGAAAGAAAGGGTGTTTTAAAACCTGTGATATTAATTAATTGTGTGAAAAAACCTCCGTGTCCTCAATGATAAATGTTGCAAGCTAGAAACCTGAGTAAAACAAACATTGAGAGAGAACTGTATGCCGATTGACCATTATGAATAATTTGACAGGGGGCCCCACCTCTGGCTTTTTCCCTTTTAGAGTCTATTGATGGTAATATGGGGTTATGACACTAGGCTATCAGTGAAGAAACTTTATATCATAGTATTAATGTCCGCCTTCACCAACTCATCTTTAGAAATTATCAACTTTGCGAAAATTCTATAGTTATCCCTATAATGATAATGTCAATACTTGGAACTGTTACCCTTTACAAGCTGCTAGACATTTCTGTACTCTTAAATAGAGATAATTCTTTGTTTACTGTAAATCTAATAAGAAAATGAAGTCAAAATATTACAACACTGCATTTTCTGCCTATAAGACCTTTCATTCTAATACTGAAACTTCCATAAAAGGCCATGAAATCTACAAATCAGAGATCGGAATCGAAACTCATCCCTAATAATCAGAGGGTTGGAGAGGGCGTATTCAGAAAATAGTCAGGGTAGGGAACAGGTTAAAGAGGTTAACTCTATTCTCGTAACACAAGCTTTTCTTTATACTCTAAATTTACATTTACTTGATAAAACAGTGACCCATTGCATTAACCCCTTTCTCTCCCTAGCTCATCAAATCATGCCTTAATGACATCTACAGAATACAATGTAACCTCATATACCACTACTCAACTCACAAAATAGGAATTCTATCAAATGAATTTTGATGGAATTGATACATATTTTTTGTACACAGTCTAGTGCAATGTCACAAGAAAACATTGCTTAAATTTAGAACGCATTCATATTACATTTTGCCTGTTTTTCATGTTTTATGAAGAGATGGCAAACGGTTGATTTGCATTAAGCTATTAAAGATATAAACAATATATTCATAGACACCGATGAATTCAACTTTTTTAATATTGGGTAACAATCTCAATTTTAATTCATTACATGTAGGCCCAATACAATGTGAATTAATAACAGAGGCGTAGCCAGGATTTAACAGGATGGTTTGAAATTTTTCGGCAAAAAATCGTAATTGCGTAATTCAATTGTCTTGTATTTTCCATTACTTGCGCAATGTGCTCTTCATATTGGAGACAAAAATTAGCGAAAAATATGAGTCCCAATGCGAGAAAACAAAAAAATAATGTTTGCATCCCGGGGTTTGCATGTAATTCCCTGAATCAAACACTGCTGGTTTGTATGATTCGATTATATATACGTATTTCCAAAAATGTAGCCTATAGTTCTCCATTCAATCTTTTTACTCAAGATAAAGTTATAAATCTCACATATTTCCATCTTTACATAAACTTCAAATATCTTAGGTAATCAAAAAATGTTAAATTACTGAAATACTGCAAAAAATTAACTTAAAATTGATGGGCTTCGCATAATTGCAGGAAAAGGTAGTTTTGAATTTTAGGCAAGATTTGAGGGGGTTCACATGAACCCCTCTCCCTACTGCCCTGAATAAGAGGTTCCCAAAATATTTGTGTTAGATTGATGAGCATGGTAGTGTCTTGTGCTTCAGTCACATTTGATCTATTGCAACTGTACGGCGACCATAGGTCCCAAAATCAAGAGAAAACAGCATGAAATATAGTGATAAGCAATACGATGTAGATTTTTCCATATTTTCGATATTGTGAAGCCACAGCTGCCATATGGCTGCTGTAGAGCAAATGCGACTAAGACTTTTTTTTATTTTATTTTACTCAATTTATTTATATCAATAAAAATGTTTTATACAAGTAGCTCCTTAATCGCTTTTCAGCATTATAGAGGAAGAGAGCCAGTTTAGTTAGTATGCTATGTTTGTTGAGGACGGTGTTATTATTTGAAACAGGAATTGCTTTGTATTTAACCAACTCGTCTTGTATCCAGACATTGGTATTCCTTCCACCCTTTTTACATATATTTTATATTTGGAGAGAGAGATTGAGGGGGAGACTTTGAAACTTAATTTGTGATTACTACCTGAAAGGATCTGCACATAATTAGCTTTTTGTTTTGCTTTTACATGCTGCATTTTCATGCTTTTTGTAGACTTGGTTGTGGAGATACGAGGCCCAGAGAGAAACCAGAAAAAGTACGACTCTATTCGAAAAAGTCAAAGAATACGCCACAAGTATGTCAAGTTGCATGTGGAGGGCGCCACACATTCATTGTCATGGAGAATGGTCACATGTTCAGTTTTGGCAATAATTTTTATGCTCAACTTGGATATGACTTCAGGATCAAAAAATATAAAAGCAATCAGGTGAGTTGTTGTGTTATGAAAATGGATAAAGGGAGGGAGCATGTATGGCATTTATCAAGAGGGATGAAGGTTTATCTGACTGAGAATGCCTAGAAAGGATATCACATCAACAAGAAGATTGAACCCACACACAGTCCAGACATGTATATGATCTTTTTATCCCATGATATTAGAAAAATACTGGAAAAATGTTTTATTCTGAAAAAATTAAATGGAGAAAATGCAATGATTTTGAGGAATATAATTTTTATCCACTAATGGATATCAGTATCTGTGAAAGAGTCAGGATAAAATAGTATGTGATGCACTGAGATTCCAAAAGTATTAAATAGATTAAAAGCAGCCTAGCAGGTCCTGCCCTCTTGTGGCCTTTAGTCAAGTTATTTTAATCAACTGTAAAATTACAGTTGAATGATTGCTCTATGTTTCTGAATTAAAATGTTGATACATGTACATTGATAACTGGTGTAAAATGCAACTTAAAATAACTGGATTAAAAATACTTCAAATATTTTTTTATAGTTTTTGTATTAAAGAACATTAACTTTGGAAATCAATAACAATTCATTTCCATTAATCAAACTTTGCAATTAATGATGTTAAAAATAAAAGTTTGAAATTCAGTTGGATTCAATAATCCCAAGACACAAAGCAGATCTTTTAGTGACAGTATACCATTTTTAACAGCATCCATATTTGTTAGTTTGGTTGTTTCTATAAGTGCTGTTCATTGGGTTATATCCAGAAAGCTTGAATGAAGATTAACTTTTCTTGAGTGTGTATACAATATTCATTGTTTTTTATCACTTGGGATTTCCAAATGTCAAATGTTCCTTCGAGCTACTATCATGTTTTTTATTATGTAACATTAAAACAATGAACTTTGACTTTGTTCTGCTTGTTAATTTATAATATCTATGCTCCCTTTTAGTGTTGTTTGCGATATACTTGAATATGGTATCTTGTTTAACTTGATATTTGCACAGTTGTAAGTCAGACCCGTAGCCAGGGGGAAAGGGGGTTCAAAATCATGCAGTTTTCACCATTTTGAGTACCCCTCGGAATTTTACAAAAACAGACTCCCCTTGGCAAAAGCTGGCTACACACCTGAAGTGTTACATCAAACTTTTATTTAAATTTGGATTGTACCCTCAGGGTGATTTTTATTGTTAATAGCCAATGATATAGTATTTGTTTTACTTCTAGGTGAAGCCTATGCTTTTAGAGACCCTAACTTACAGGCCTGTGAGGCAGGTTGCTTGTGGGGAGAAGCACACTCTGATTCTATTCAAAGATGGAGCTGTGGCTACTCTGGGGTAGGTATTTTCATCCCTATCATATGTGTGTCTGCTAAAGGGTGCTCTAATTTCTAATGAAAATTCTGACCTATTTTTACTTGTAAAATTTGGTGTTTGTTTTTTTTGACAAAATTTGAGGCCTTTTGTGTAAAATAACCTAGAAAGCTGGCCAAATGACATTTCATGGGTTGAACACTCTCAGAACCCAGGTGTTTTCCATTCTGATACTCAGACCATCTCTGCAATGCACAAGTTCTAGAAAGGAAACTGAGAGAAGGCTGTGATATCTCACGATGGGTGTTTTCAGTTTATCCAATATTTTTATGCAAGTGGTGACATATTGTTGTAGTTTTCAACTTTTTGTGAATGGTGTTTGGTATTCACCGGTTGATGTTCAGTGTTCAGTGTATGTAACAAATGGCAGGTGGTGACATTTTGTATGTTAATACCTTGTATACATGTACATTCATAATAAAATTTGAAGTTAAGGTTAGATTTTAGACCTTGAATTTAAAGGTGAAGTGAAAATGGTAAGATTATACTTGAAATGCTATACACAGCATCTACATTTTGGACAGAAATAATTTAATAATTGAACTGGATACTATCTTCAATTTTGTAAAAAGAAAAGAACTCAAGGAACAGATGTTCATTGATTTTGGTGATTGCACTGAATCATCCAGGGTTACCCCCAAAAATGCAACCTTCTTATTTTGAAATAAGTTGACAATTCAGTGGAAATTATATCACAAATGATCATATTGGCTTTGAAACATTGTTTGATTTCATCAGAGTATATGTTGTATTGAGTTGTTAAAATGGATAGGGAATATATTGTATTTTCCAAAACAATTGAGGATCTGAATATCAATTTAGATAACCTTAAATTTTAAAAATTTATACTTAAGTGAGGACATTTGGTCCGCCAACAGTATTTTCATCAACTTTCTTTATGTCTGAGAAATGTGTCACATTAGAAAAAGATCAACTTATGGCAGTTCTAGACAAAATAAATATTTACCAAAATGACAGGTCATTTATTATACCATGAATAATACATTTTAGTTTTAAATTCCACTTTTCTCTTGCTTTGTTTTGAAATCTCTGATCCATTAAAATAGATACATTTTTCTTTTGTATGGTTTAATATGAATTTAGGTAGATTTAATTTTGTTTGCGAATTGGTCATTATTTTTGACCTGATCTTGATTTAATGGTACACAAATAGTCTGCGGGTACAGATTGTGAAAGTCAATATTTACAAACTCAAATTATTATTTCTAATAAATTCACCATGCCATAGGGAACTTAAACAATGCAATGCCATTGATGAAATATCATAATGAAAATATAAAAAATAGAAAAGAGTGGAAAATGGTGTAATCAAAACAAGAAAGAAAGATGTACAACTGATTTTGACATTTAAGATTAAATAACATCTTTACAAATTAAATATATTATTGCAAATATAAGAAAAATTGAGTGAAATATGTGAAATGTTTAGCATGGGAATAGTACATATATTAACCATGGTGACAATACACATTAGAGATACTTTTAATAATTTAGTCGCTAAGGGATATTGTAGCCTCTGAAAAGGCATAATTAATTCTGACAAATATTGGTTTACCATGTTGATGGCTAGTATAGAAGTTAATGTATGCTAGAGGGAGGTCATCCAAGATTCAGAATTTATTATTCTAATATGTTCCACATTCTCGTTGAAATTATAAAAAATAATTCCAAGAAATGAGGAGGCACAAGGGGCAATATTTGATAAGAAAGAAATAATGAGACAAACTCCTTAAAAGATAGTAAACCTCATAAGGAGAAAAACCCAAATATCAAGATTATGATCAGTCGATATAATGAATATCAACCTAAATTAATTGACCAATCAGATCAAATCAAGCGTGATATATTCCTGGAAACAAACCTATGTGCCAAGAATCTTATATGTTCTGAATTTTGAATAAAGACATCTTCATATTTCCTATTCCATTCAGTGAACAATTTGGACACTTTCTAACAGACTCTACTAATTTTCTCTGATTTGTGTTCCAACACTCCACTAAATAACTATCGTATTAGAAATTATTTTTCTTTGATCTTGTTTTGACCATAATATATGCTCCGGGGTTATAATGGTTGATGATATTGTTGAAATAATTTAATCATTTAAATGTGAAAAATTATGCAAGGAACAATAAACTAAACTAGAAAATATAAAAATCTCATTTCAAGAAATACTGTTAGCTTAGCACATACACTTGTGTCATTATTGCATTGAATATTGAGTTATTGCCTTTCTTTCAGGAACAATGCGTTTGGCCAGATAGGCACAGGAGACAGAGAAGAAGCTGTTGTTCCTAAAATCCTGGATGAACTCCGGGAAATCAAGCATATTGCCACGGGGGCCAATCATAACATCATCGTAGATGGTACGTATGATTTCATGAACTTGGTTTCATGATAGCAGTTGTGACATATTGTTTTAGCCTACAACTATTTTGTGGATGGCTGTCGGTGGTTTGTGTTTGGCATTCGGTGGTTGATGTCTGTAACAAATGGCAGGTGGTGTTATTTTGCATGTTAATGTCTTCTTTTAGTCTCTGGTCACTCAATAATTTCTCATTTCAAAAATAAACTCCTAAATTCATTGTTTGTGACCAGAAATGCTGATGTGAAAATATGAGAACAAAACTTCAGAATTTCTCAATTTAGAAATGTTTAAGTAATGTAACCCTGGTCAGTTTCTTTTTTCCCAGGATTCTACATTTTTATGGAACTGGCCGTTGATTTAACTTTTTTAGAGCGTGGAAGTGATATTGTATTTATTACACATTTGGGAGCTATCACCCCACCATCTTGTTTTTAATCCTCGTATTAACCAGGCCCAGATGGGTAACTGCTATCTCATGATATCATGTGAGAAAATCTCTGCTAATATGTATGTTTATCTGAGTTATTTTATAGCGATTTATATCGAAAAAACATCGGGGATCATTTGAGACATCTGTGCAAAAAGCTAATTTTGTAAAAAATGCCGATTTATTTAAGCTTGTTAATCTGGAAGCCAGATTTCTGTAGAAGAGTAAATATGGAAATATGTATTTAGGTGACCTAAATTGACTTTTGGTTGTTCCAAGTTTTTATTTTGATCAAATACAGGTGTGAGTTTGCCATGTTATATCTTCCATATTTGTAAATGAGCTTTCTCAAATCACAATTAACTAAATAGCAGTTCTACACATCAAAGTAAACATCTATGAAGATTTCCATGTTTACAAAAAAAATTTTTATGATTTTTATGATAAGCATTGTTCAGTTATCAATTTGTGAACATTTCTAATAATAAAGACATGGCAGGCCCAAGTAGTGAATTGAGAAACTCTGGACCAGTATAGGTGAAGGTCTAAGACCACAGACCAAGTGCTACATGGTCCTTGAACCAAAAGTCAAAGGCTGTGTTAGAGCTAACCCTAACATAGCAGGGTGGGTCAGAAGTTGTGAATTTCATTTTTAAGGTTACTGTGATCTATTTAGACGTATCACTCATTGTCATGTCATGGCTTCATAAAATAAATTAGAAACAAATTACAAACAAATAAACTAAGTAACAAATTTGCACAAAAAACAACAACTTACAGATGCTGGTTGGAAGTTATGGTTTGGCTTAATTATATTTTTTATAGTTATTTGAGTTATGGAAACATTCAACAAGGCTATATGTGTTGTGAGAAAAATGTTACTCTTGATTATGTTTAATACTATTTTATAAAGATGCTTTTACACTGACATACTGAAATTACAGAGACACCCCTCCCCCAATAGCATCAACACCAACAAGGTTCAAATGATAGATATCCTGATACCTTATCCAGGGGCTTGACCCTATATGTCTTCAGAAATGTTTTTTACTCCTACAGAGACAAATGTTTGATATATTGGTTTGCCAGGTGGATGGGGTCAGTTGGGGGCAATATAGAGGATCAGTGGGGTGGGGTGGGGGGGGGGGCTGGCTGTTTGATTTGATTTGACAACTATATATATTCTGGGTAGCTCTGTTTGGGATATATCATAAGTGAATATGATAAGCTTAGTACATTAGTACATTATTATATGTGGTATACAGGGTGTCAAATAAGTCCCGTCCCCCCTGCTACAGCTAGAACCTTAATAGATGGTCTCTAGTGCGATATATCATTGGAAAGATCATACAAAGTTATGTTAACTCACCAACTCTCAAGTATTTTGGATGAACTTCGCCTATATTTTCATGATGTCTTTTATAGTGAGTATACCCTCCTTTAAGCAGTTTTTTGCGTCAAAATGAGAAGGATTTGACCTCAGAAATATGTCAAAAAGTTAATCTTTTTCGCATTCCACTTGTTACAAAAATGTTTTCACCACTTGCTTTGCTCCTCTATTTTCTACACATCTTCCCCTCTCCAGAAATTGGTTAAATTCATTGCCATATACATATGTAGTCATCTTTAGGTCCTTTGACTTTTCTTATACCCAATTCTGAAAATCCAGCCAAATACGCCAAATTGCCATGTTTCTAGGCCTATGGTCACCTCAATTGATACACTGTGAAACTTTGTGAGATTGATTGACATGTGTCAGATATATGCTAATCAACGTAACTTTGGAAGACCTCTCCAATGATATATCACACTTGGTACCATATATCTTGGTTTTGGCTGTAGATGGGGGGGGGGGGGGGGGGGGCGGGACTTATTTGACACCCTGTAATTAACTGCATGTACACTGGTCAAGATCCAAGATTCACAGATATGAGGAACTTGACTGTGCAATGATATTTAAGCTGTTCTTTACTATCCCTCTTTATGTTTTTGTTATCCTCCTGAACAAGCTCCCCCTCCTCCACTTATATCTATCCATTTGGGCAATATCTCAAATGCCCATTGCCCAAATGTCATTTACATTTCAATAGTATTACTGTATGAGTTTTACAGTCTTCTAGTATATGTTTTCATGTCACCACCACAAGTGGTGACATATTATTATACTGTCTCCAACGTTTTCGTGGACAGTGTTCGCACAGTTGGTGTTCAGTAGTGTTTAGTGTTAGGCATCTGTAACAAATGGCAGGTGGTAACATGTTGCATGTTAGTGTTGTTTAAAACCTTGTAATCATATTTTATCTGCAGATCTTGGCACTGTATTTGTGTGGGGAAGTGGAAAAGGCTGTGGGAGCAAAGCAAAGGACATTCTGGAACCTGAAGAGCTGATATGGCCCAATAAACGGAGGAATATAATTGCAGTGGCTGCTGGCCAGTCTCATAGCATGGCGCTTACGGGTAAGTATTTCTCAAATATTTTTCAGAATTTGATATAATCTTACAAAATTTTTGTCCAGTTTTTGAAAAGTTAAGGCCAGTTAATCCAAATGAGTTTGGAGAAAATGCTTACATTTTGGCCTTAAATTTGAAAGATTTAGGCTAATTTTTCCAACTGAGGCTGCATGGAATATGAGGCTCACCTTTCAAGCCCAAATAATTTTCATAGGTCAGGAGTCCCAGGTTTACCAGATGTACATTTTTTTTAAAATGTGTAATCTAAGACATTGCTTAGCTTGAAGGTATGTTTGTTTGCCATATATGATCTATATATTATGATGTCATGTTAGATTATTGTTGAATGAGCAATTTCCATATTTATCAAAACATTCAGTTTCTGGTTCTATTGCAATGATAATGACATGCAGTAACATGCTGCCCTCTTGTGGAAATTTTCAGTACTAAGAGTATTGAAAGTTGAAGATTAAACATATTTGAATGGAAAATTAAGGATGATGTTACTGATACTATGAGTTGTGGTAGGTTTCAAATTATTATTTGAAATAAAAGTATTTCTATACATTTGTATGTATAACATATTCGGTTATGGTCATTTTATACCATGGCAATACCATGTTTACCATTAAAGTGTATATTTAAGCCTGTCTTAGTGAACACCTCTCTCTAGTGAACACCTCTCTCTAGTGAACACCTGTGTTTAGTGAACACCACTTCAAGACACATTTTACATTGAATCTCCTTTATAAAATCTCTTTCTGTAGTGAACACCTATTCTTCAGTGAACACTTTTTGGGGCTTCATGGGTGTTCACCATATGCAGGTTTACTGTATTTCTTTTTTTGTAGAATGATGTTGGGAAGAGACTTATTTTTCTCATTAAAAAGCAAACAATATTCTACAGTATCTATACATACTCAGCTATGGTTGATTTATGTTGGATGATAACATACCTGATCTCTTACCTGGACCATAACCTGACTACTTACCTGTACTCTCACCTGGCATAACTTTCTACCTGTTAACGAGGTGTATGAAATAATTAACCTTTAGGGTCACACCTTTGCTATGGAATCTTACAGGTTGAACCTTTAAGTTCTGGACATAATAACATGTAGCGAAAATACCTACGTCCAAGAACCAGCTATTCTATGTAGTGAAAATACCAAATGTCCATGTTTCATGATGTCAAAATACCAAAGTCAAGATGAGATTTGTCAGTTTGGTTATAAATCTGGGGTTCGATCAGCAAGATTTGGACAGTGTTGCATGTAGGGAAATACCACCGTCAACATTTCTCAATTTGGCTATTTCAAAAGTATATTTAGTGATGTTTACAAACTTGATGCAGTCCTTTTTTAATTGAAATGATTGAAAATGCCTTTCAGAAAACCCTTTGTCATTTATATGTTTTTTTATATTACATATGGAGGTAGGGGGAGGAGAAGGGACAGCTGAAAATGACAAAATTCTTGTTGCCAACGCCATGCTAATAAAATATTTCATGTTTGTCTTCAATTGAGACAGGTTCGTAACCTGGTCGATCCCTCCCATGCTCTCCAAGATGTGTTTTTCTTCACAGCCGAGTTGTTATAGATCCCGGTCTAATTATCTGTTATCTCTTCAATCTGGAGTTTCATCCCTCCTTGCATCTCTCCCATCTTCCACAAATATTGTCTTAATCCTCGTTAAAGGCCATGCCCTTTTTAGCCTATTGCTTTTTTCCTCATCATGCTCGGATGACACCCATGGTTTTTGGCTGTTTACATTTACTGGATTTTGACACCTGGATGTAGAACTCAAGTTTGGATTGGGGTTCCTCAATCATTGGAGGTCATGACCAGAAGCATTTGATGAATCTGGCTATCTAATAATATATGGTTATAATAGGTAACGATAATATGTGATTATTGTAAGATAGTATTATTGAATTGAATTGACTTATTAATACAGTATATTATATCGTTAGTAATTGCTTTTGAGAATTTATTTAGTTATGAATTTTAAACATTTTTAATCAAAATAAATGTGATGTGATATTAGATTAGTATTGTAGTTAAGATTTGTACAAAATTTTGCATATATTATTTTTGTGATTCATTTCCTTAATTATTCTTTTTAAAGCAATTAGTTATTTGTCTATTATGGGTTCATATTCTGGTGTACACATGTTTTGTAATATGGTCCATATTTTGTAGCCTTCCTAGAATCATGTATACAGCCGAGAGCTACTCTGTGTACATGTACATCATTTTACATGCTATCTCACCGCATCCCACCCGTGGAGAATAAAAACTCTTGAAATGTGAGAAAAATCCCAAGAAACATCATCCCGGTTTTGAACATGTGTTTTACATAGACCATTTACTGCTTGTTAACTTCTTCCCAAATTCTTCCTATTATCCCAACACTTGTCAGAACCTGTTTTTCCCAGATACCTTCGTGGACTTTTATCTTGAGTTTGAGATGATCTGGCGATGATTTTCGCATTTATTTGTTATGAATGTGAAATATAAGTGCCAGAGTTTATGCACCTGTGGGAATATAATGTCCCAAGGATGGTTTGGGAGAAATGTGCACATTTCATATGCTTATAATTAGCCTTTTGTCGCAATAAAAATACAATAATGTATTCTAAATTCTGCACTAAAATCACAAAAGGCAATATTACAATGATGACAATTATGACAAATTCATAAAATGTTGAGCTAGATTTGGTGATAAAATTGTGTTTTTTTATCTGCGATGTTTACGTCAGAGGAATAGGAGTTGTCAATTGAGTTGTTTGTTACCCTTTGCATTTGTTTGACTTCACTTCTTAAAAGAGAGCTTCGTCTTGTAGTTTAACTAGACTCTGCACGCAGGGTAGTTGTTTGTCTGGATTATATCTAAATGTTGCCTCCACATTACATTACAATTTTCATAACTTACTTTATTATTGTCAATTTTCAGATACTGCTTGTACTTTATGTATTACAACATACAATAAGCATTTCCTAAAAGTATAGGGAATGCAGGATTTCTTTCGGGAGGAGCTTGAGGTAGGCCTGAAACAATCTGTAGAAATTAAAAATGTTGGACTTTAATATGGAACTCATTTTCAAAAATAGGCCTTGTTATTGAGAAAATACTAGGTCTCGTTTGAAGAATGGGACTCAATTATTGAAACAAAATGGGCCCTGTTTGGGATTTCCTTAATTTTGAGGCCCCCTTATAACATAAACTTTCAAGGTAGAAATTCACAGATTCCCTGTTATTTCATTAATTGAAGACAAAACATACAATCTGAAGTTCAATGGCTCAAGAAGGAAAGTAAGAAAAGCGTCAAAGACCAGACAAACTTCAAAGTCTTTCCACTTTGAAGGTTAGATAGTTGCAGATAGAACTAAGTGGGATTACATCCGTATTGTACATGTACAGATAAACCATTCACTAAGCCTATAGAACATGAACTTGAAATGATGAATCTGTCTACTGAGTATATCTGCTTGAGTCTATGGAACTTATACAGTAACGCAACACCCAGCTGTTTCAAATGAGCTTTAATTACTCAACCTGGTTGCAAATGTCCACCTTGAGACCCTGTGACAACGTGGAATCAGGAGACGTCCAAAAAGTGGGACTAAAGAAGTGTTTATATTTTGAGAATGTATTTTGAGTTTCTCAAGGCACATGTTCTAATTCGCCTTACCATATAAGGATAAACATGGTTAACAACATGTAGTTCGGAAAATCCAAATGGCACTTTGTACAGATCAATTTTATAAGGTTTAATTTTTCTCTCTTTATATAATCTTTAAAGTTCATATACCCATAGTTTAAAAAAAAGAACATTTCCCACCATATATTCAGTGTTGGCGAGACAGTACTTCGATCAATTAAATTTTATTTTTGGTTTATGCATGTTTTTGAAACATAAAGTCAAACCTACATTGTTTATAAAAAATCAGAAATTGTGGGAACTGATCTTTGGCTAAATCTCAGGTATTGTTATATGTGTAATATTCTACGTGGGTTGTTTTCCAAAATAGATGATATTTAAGGATGCAATTTTTCAAATAAGAATAATGTCAGCTTTCACCTTAAACGACCATCACTGTTTTACTTAAAGGGTGACTTCTATTGTATAGATAGAAGATAGGGATCATATTTGAGGTTAAACTGGTTTAGATAATTCACATCAATAATAATGGGGTATAATTTTTAGAGTAATTACATCATAGCTTCATTCCCTACTTTATAAACAAACAAACAAACAAACAAACAAATAAACAGACAAACAAACAAATGAATCAAGCAAAGAAGCAATCAAGAAATCAAGAAGCAATTGTTTTATTGCACTTTTTCTTCGCCTTATGTGCCTAAATCTTACCCCACTCGTCCTGACTCTGGCACATACCTTGATATTAATTAAGGGACTTTTAAAGATGATGATCATATCTGTTGAAAAAATTCTATTTTATTTCAGAACTAGGTAAGAAAGCAGCTAGGGGTTGGGACTGGGGAGTCAGTATACTGAGATAGTCAAGAGTATTTTAGACGTTGTAATTACATTCACAGTGTACCTGCTAAAGAAGCCCTTGCTGAAATTTCACTTTTAGAGAAGTGGCACGTTCCCATGACGAATTTACAGTTGAGTTATTCCTCAAAGTACTGTAATGATCACTGTTTGATTGATGCTCCATAAAACACTACATAAAACTCCATGCAGTTGAAAACTGGCCCCATGTCCCATCCTGGTGCAGAGTGAATCCCCTTTTGTTGGAGGCTCGTAAACACTCCCAAATTATGATTATTATGAGTTAAAGGCTGCCTGGGGTGAAACCAAGAATTTCGAATAATTTGATAAAATCTGGCTTCGTGTATGATTTACTGTAATTTTAATGGTATTTTTGCAAGGAATTGGGATTTAAAGTCTGTGGAGCGAATGATCTATATGGAAAAATGTCAGGAGTTCTTCCATAATGATGATATCATGATTTTATAAGGATGAGGACACGCCT